TAATCAACAGCTATCTAATTGGACCTAAAGCCCTCTCAGTGGGAAGGAACTCATGGGTGGCACTATAAATATAGGTAAATACACACTACTGGAGGAGTCATAGATCCTAGATAAAACTCTATCTCTCTCATATCTCTAGACAAATGAAATTTCTTACTGTATGCTAAATATGGATCCTTACATTTACGGACAAGTATAATATACACCAGTCATCAGAGAAGCTTCTTTTTGTGACAGATGGACGGTATTACAGAGTTCTACAACTGGCCACACTCAAAGAATATATGTCTGAGAGTTCCCTAGCCCTAAGTGACATATCTACAGTGGAACCTCTACACCTACTTTCAAAGATATAGCGGAATAGGAGCTGGAGTGAGCACTAACACATCCCTCAACTTTTACCAGTGAAGTGTCCTCATATAACAGAGAGCAATGGACAAAAAAGTCCACAGTTGGCTAATTTTTAGAGAACAATAGACTGGAGAGTGTATGTCCCTGGATAAGACTCCTATATTAAACCTGACCCACCTTAGGCTCAGCGACCATTGTGGCAGAGGGGGCACAAAGTTTGTAAGAGCCAGGGGTGGTGCATGAACATAAGGAGAGTTTACATCTTTAAGAGCAAACACAAGACAGATAGAGCAAACTGGAAGTGGGGCAAGGTTAAGAACCCTCAAATCCCATCCCCAGTGACTGTGTTCCTTTCAAGAAGTTGCACCTTCTAAATGTTTCATAACCACCCCAAACAGCACCATGATCTTTGGGGGCATTTCTTATTCAGACCTGCAGGATGTACAGCATATTCAATATTTTTGAGTTGATTGATATTTTGATTTTATAATTGTCAGTGCTGTTTAGTGTCATTTCAGAAACAGTTGAATATCCTGTCCTACTCCCAAGTAAAAATTCATTTAAGGAATTTTTAAATGAATTTCAAAGCAGAGACTCAACAGCAAACTTTTAAAATCAAACATTCTAACACAACACAATCCAAACTTATACAAATTTGATTTTCATGATCTGAGGAATGATGGTAAAAAATATTACAATTCTTTGTTTTGTGTTATTAAATCATTATGATTCTCTATGAGCAGCAATGTACTTGCAAAGTAAAACAACATCATTCATAATGTAAAAATGGTATAGAATCTAAGCTGCTGTGTTGCAGGCAAGCTTCACCACACATGATGTGTGTTGCTAGACAGCCTTATAGTAACTGCACATTTGATTTTGAACTAAGTTTTAGTTGTTGGACGTTCAGAAATCTTTCACTTTTTCCAATTTTTTACAATTGACCCTTCACATTCAGCTATGTGACGTCCATGTGTGGTTGCAAGCAATAGTTTAAGAAGCTGAAAACTAGAACAAAGCTTTTTTAAATATTTATTTTGAATTGTATGTGCACGTGCACGTGCACATGTGTGTGTGTGTGTGTGTGTGTGTGTGTGTGTATTATACTGCATGTGAGGCATTGGATCCTCTAGAGCTACAGTTACAGGTGGTTATGAGCCATCCTGCATGGTTGCTGGGAACCAAACTCAGTTCATCTGCCAGAAAAATATGCTCTTTTAACCACTGAGCCATCTCTTTTGCTCTAGAACAAATCTTTAAAGGAAAAAGTTATTTGTTTATAAATGTGGTTGTTGGAAAAGGGAATGTTTTGTGGGAAACCATGTCTTTTTTCAAGGGGGTATATAGAATCTTGAAAATATAAGCAGCTAAAGAATTCTTTGGCTTCTCTAATGTTAAAATACTTGATCCTAAGACAACAGTATCTATAACTGTTTGAAGGAAAGAAAAACTAAATGAAGCCAAAAGAATCATTTAAGTTTGGTCCTAAAAAGAAGTGCGGTCTTAAAGAAGGCTTGGTGGTATTTTCTAAAATATTAAAGTCAAAGGACTTAGGACCAATCAAATATCAATTGTAAAACTAAAAGAGGAAATAATTCTTTTTAATTTTAATGTTATTTTATATTAATTCATGCCATGACCCCATTTAGTGATGACTAGATTGACTTACTCAGCGTTTTAGTGTATGCATGTGGTAAAGTTGCTAATGCCTTAAGTTGACACCTGAAATATTCAAGGAAATATTGTAGACCAAACATGTGGCAACCGCTATTCTAGGTATTAGGAACATAGCAATGGGCAAAAGCACACAGTCCTTGCTCTTGTAGAGCCTGTGTGTTATGTGATTGGTCATGGAGGAAGAGGAAAGCTGACCAAAAGAACACAACAGCAGCTAGAAAAAATGATTAGAAAAAGAACCTGTCTGATGACTAGGGAGATCCTGGAATACTGGAGGAGACTTCCTGAAGGAGAACACACTCTGGCTGAGACCCTGACAACTCCAGGAGCCAGTAGCACTGGCTAGTGACAAGAACACTACAGGCAGAGGAAGAAGGCAGTGGAGTGGCCCAGGGATAGGCTTATGTCTTGAATGTGTTTTAGGAATTGAAAGAAGGGAGTGTAACCTGTCCCTGCAGGGATCATCACTGGTGGAGGGAGAGCCATCAGAGATGAGGTGAGAATATTAGTTCTCAGCATGGTTACAACTAGAGAAACTCAGTCACAATCTTTTCTTGACTTTGTTAAAACTTTGTGGTCTATTACATCCTTCATAGAAGAAATGATAAAACCACGTTAATCCTTCTTTCTTTTTTTAACAATCATCACTGGGGAAACTCCCATTCCATTTTTGGGGGAGAAAAAAATGGGGCTCAAAGGTTTTCACTTACTTGCTCAAGGTCAGAGTGCTTGTAAATGGCAAAGTCAGGATTCAAATCATGCCTTATGATCCAGGGACCATGAGAGTTTTTGCTTCCCACAGTGTCACTTCCCCTTCTTATATAATCATGAAAGAATAAGTTGCTGACCTCTTACCAGAGAACTGCAGAGGAGAAGCTGTAACAGGCTAGATGTTTTAACTGAATGACAGTAAACTAGTCCTCTGCTCATGGTTGACAAGCTTGGTGGAGGTTTTGCGGGAGTGAGTGGGGCCATTGCCTACTGGGAGAGAACTGGTGAGTGATTATGTCTTTACTTTCCCTTGTATAGGATTCTTACAGCAACCCTTTGCTTTTATAACATGGCTTGATGACTTCCCACTAAAATCTACTTGTGTATCTGGACTGAATGGAATATGTCATAAGATTCCATGGCATTTTCAAACCAACATGAAATGTGGTAAATAGGCTGGCATTTACTCAGGGGCACTGTATCAGCTGTTTCTGCACTTTGCCCCTCCATTAAGTTAACAGCCAGGCTGGGGCCATTAAAATCCAGCCCTTTTTCTCAATTACAGCCAGGCGTTAACTGTAGATATTCTGAACCTTTCAAATAGAGCCATTTTCAGACAGGATTGGGAGCTTCCCTTTAGTATGGCCCCTCCTTAGTGTTCCCATTCTCAGATCCCCCTGATTTTGTAACTTTTAGTTCTGAATATGCCTGTCTGGGAGCTGGGTCTCTGTTTATATTGCACGTCCAAATCCTAGCATTCGTTTAAGAGAGAGTCCCAGATACAGAGACATACGGTACTCGCAGAGAGCAGCATTTGTTGCTTGCTGGGGGCTTTCTGACTGATGCAGGAGGGCGAGGAACGAGAGTTGGCTGGCGTTTGGGAGCAGATTTAGAGCTGCTTCTCGTTGGAGGGGCTCACTTTCCTGAGCTGCCAGACACTGCGGGCTCAACTGAGGCGCAGAGGTACAATTCAGGCTGGTGGAGCAGCGGGGGGGGGGGGGGGGGGGGGGAGGCAAGGACAGGCGGGGCTAGTGAGGCTCTGCAGCTGATCACACGCACCAGCACACACACCTCATTCTCACTGCCTTTGCCTGCGCCTCGAATCTAATACCCGGGGCAACCAACGTACTGACAGGGAGCAGGGAGCAGGGGACCCAGGGTCGGAAGATGCTAAGGTTTCTATCCGGAGGCACAGGAAAAGCTGGAGCGACATCAGTATTTAACCTGAAAGTCTGACCTGCAGGCCAAGGCTCAAACCTCGTTCAGCAGCACAGCTGACGCTGGGAAGAGGGCACCTCGAGTCCAGGCACCCTAAGGTCCCGCGCCCAAGTCACCTGTGCTTGGAGCACCAGGATCTTCATGCCGGGCTAGTGTGAGCCCCAGGGAGGTGCGGAACCTGAGGTACCTGCATCGGCTCCCATCGTGGAACACCAGGAAAAGTAAGAAGGAGGCAAACAGCCCTGAGCGCTGGGTGCGAGGCCGAGCTGCCGCCTTCGCTCGCAGCGCCGCCCGCCGCCAGCAGCCCTCTCCCTCCGGGTGAGTGGCCAGGCTTTGCTCACGCGTCGGAGCGCAGGGGTGGCCTGGCGGTCCCCGAGGTCCTCCCCAGGGGACCCGTGGCGAGCGTGGAAACTCGGTTGCCCCCTCACCGCAGGCGGACAGGTCTCTGGAGTCCGGAGCCTGGGATTCTGAGCCGGAGGACATAGGTAGGGGGCGTTGCACCACTGCCCAGCAGACATGCCTCTGGGAGGGATTTTGGCTAAAAGATAGGAGGCGGGAGCGGCAGGGGAGCCAGGAGCCCTCCCTCGGGGCCGGAGACCGGGGCGCAGCGGGGAGGGGGGAGGGTCTGGTCCAGGCAGGTAGCGCAGTTTAGCAGACTGGGGAGTTGGCAGGCGGGGTGGGACTTGCTTGTCAAACTCATTAATTTTAGCCAGCCAGTTTAGGGGTGCTGCAAGGTAGTCGTGGGGTGGGGTGCTGTGGAAAGGTGAGAGGTGGCCCAGGATACCGGTGGTGGGGGCAGAAAAGAGAAGCCTCCAAAAGCTTGGAGACAAAATTGCACTTGGATTCCTGCAGCTTGCATCCCTCCTGCGTTGAGTGCAGAACACTTTTGTTTTAACACTGCACTGGGAAAGAAAGCCTCCAACCCAGGGGAGCAGAGGCATCCTCAGGGGGCAGAGACCAGCGCTACCTGCAGGGTGCGCCCCCCCCCTCGGCGCCTGTTTTCGTTCCCTCCCCTCCAGCTTTCGTCCCCTGCCCCCACCTCCTTATTGGTGCTGGTTTGCAGCGCTTGGCTCTTGCTCCTCCACTTCGCGTTTGAATCTGGCTCGCCCCTCCGTATTATGTCTGCAATCCGAAGGAAATTTGGGGACGATTACCAGGTAGTGACCACCTCATCGAGCAGCTCGGGCTTGCAGCCCCAGGGGCCAGGGCAGGGCCCGCAGCAGCAGCTTGTACCCAAGAAGAAGCGGCAGCGGTTCGTGGACAAGAACGGCCGGTGCAATGTGCAGCACGGCAACCTGGGCAGCGAGACCAGCCGCTACCTCTCGGACCTCTTCACCACGCTGGTGGACCTCAAGTGGCGTTGGAACCTCTTCATCTTCATCCTCACCTACACTGTGGCCTGGCTCTTCATGGCGTCCATGTGGTGGGTGATCGCTTATACCCGGGGCGACCTGAACAAAGCCCACGTAGGCAATTACACTCCTTGCGTGGCTAATGTCTATAACTTCCCCTCTGCCTTCCTCTTCTTCATCGAGACCGAGGCCACCATCGGCTATGGCTACCGATACATCACGGACAAGTGCCCCGAGGGCATCATCCTTTTCCTCTTCCAGTCCATCCTGGGCTCCATCGTGGACGCCTTCCTCATTGGCTGCATGTTCATCAAGATGTCCCAGCCAAAGAAGCGCGCCGAGACCCTCATGTTTAGTGAGCACGCGGTGATCTCCATGAGGGACGGAAAACTCACGCTCATGTTTCGGGTGGGCAACCTGCGCAACAGCCACATGGTCTCTGCGCAGATCCGCTGCAAGCTGCTCAAAGTAAGTGCTACCCTCCCCTTCCCCACCCAGCAAGCCCACCTGGCAACCCAGAGATTCACTCACCTGAGAACTGCTCAGTCTTCTCCCGGTTTTTCCTTTCACCACAGGTAAACTTCTGGGGGCAGGAGGAGGTGGAAGAGGGTAGGGATTGGGCAGAGAGCGAAGTTACGAGTTCTGTTTTTTCCCCCCTTACTCCTGTGCTCTTGTTTCTGTTCACCACTTTGGGTGTCCGTGTTTCTCTGCAAACACGATGTGTGGACTTCTTTGAGGGAAATTGGTGTTCTGAGCTTGCCCTCCTAAGTCTTTGCTCCTGAGAGCACTTCTGATTTGTTGCCAACATATTACTTCCCTGAACTTGAGGCACTAAAGCTTTTTTTTGAAGAATTTGGTGCTGAACTTGCCTCACCTTTACCTTTGGGTTTGAGTTTAGTGCATTCCCCCCGCCCCCGCTTTTTCTTTTTCCCTTCATAATATCAGCAGGTGGATTACTCTACAAGACACAGTAAGGCTATCTCTGTGTGTGGTAATCTTTTTAAAACACAGATCCAAGGAGGAGTTAATAAAGTGGAAGAAACTATATCTGGTTTTTAAAAATTCTTATTTTTATTACATATTTTCCTAGACAAGTATTCTGTGGAAACTTGAGTGCTTTTCCTGTAGAGACTCTTGTTAATTTTATTCTTAATTGCCTGTTTCTATGAAGCTTTTTGTCAATTATAAATATCACTTGAAGCTTTTCAATGTCCATTAAAGAAGATTGCTTCCTACCCAGTGGTGTAAATGCTAAAACAAATTGCACATAAAGTAGTTATTACAGCAAGGTCTTTCTAGTCGTTAGAGGGCACCACCACAAACAAGAGGAGTCCCCCTAGTCACTCATGCAATTAGAGCCCAGGGAGGGGGATTAAAGCCTTGTTCTAGTTCCAGGTGTCATAACTGAATAATTTCTTTTTCTCTTGAGGGATTTGCCTGAGTGATTTTTTTAAATGTTCATAAACTGAAAATGATAACCTCAAATGAATAGTTTATAATTGAAAAAGATTTATCTTGGATTTTATAAAGAACCAGAGCCAGATTCAGAACTGTCAGTACTAATAAAATGACAACCTGATAACTAAGTTGAGGTAAAATTTTGCCTTTGAAATTTCAATTTGTATCATTCCAGTATATATTATTTTACACAGCCTCAAGTTAATGAGTAGTTAAAGGTGATCTCACAAAATTAAAAAAGGTAGTTTTGTCCTTATGTCATTTTCATTATTCACTTCTAAGATCTCCTCCTAACTGTTCTTGAACAAGTGGCCCAGTGCAGTGCTTGAATTAAAGCAGTGAATTTGCCTTGTAACTTCATATTGCATGAATATTTACTGTTCTGCATTAGAAAGAAGGGCATTGTTTGAATATCAGAGTACAAAATTTTCAGCTTGTTTCTGATGTACATCTTCAAAGGGTAACTATGATAAATCATTTGAATTGATATGCTTCTTAGAATAAACTTTCATTTCATACACTTATTCAATTTTAGCTTAGCATTTTGTTTAATTGACCACTGCTTGAATTAAATGGGTTGCTAGATGAAGCTAAGCATTTGCGTTGCAGTCATGCTTATTGCAGCTGTAACTGCCGCATGTGCTTGCTCCTGTGCATAGACTAAATGCATCTTCTGTTTCATCAAGTTAGGCATCCTGGGCAGACAGGAGCACTTTTATTGTTCGTTTGAACAGTGCCAAAGTGTTGGTCAAGGCATTCATGCACATACATCACTGTGAGACTCTCACTGGAATAGTTTCCCATATTTATTAGACGTCAAAGGTTATTTATTGTTCCCTAAGTTTTTAAACAAATATGGTTATTCATTAAAACTGATGTTTTATAGGCAATATATTTCAGATGTTTTTAGACATTATCAAATTTTATTTTTTAAAAAATCCAATATATGAATAAAATTAATGTCTATTAGTTCCACACACATGCAATGAATCTGAGGTACTAAGTATCTACAGTGGTATTACTGATAATTATGTTTCTATATAATGCCATGTAACATATATGCCATAACACTGTCCTGAACAAAGAACTAAAATATTTATAATGTTAACAAATGTGGAGCCAGGTGCTATATTAACACAAGGTGATAAAACAAAATCTAATTCAAATAAGGGTAAGTAGTCATACATTATCCTTATGATTTTAGGGGGATGTCAGTGCTGAAAGTAAAAATGATTAGCATATGCTCTTAAATTTATATTTAAATAAGATTATAGAGAAATTCTCCATTGAATTTTGCAAGGAAATGGGTTGATTACCAACAGGTTTCACAGCAAACCACTTAGTGTTGTTTATTTTTAGGCTTGTTTGTTTCGGTAGCCAGGTAATTATAATGAATTTTTATAGTTCTTGCAATTTTCTTAGACTTCATTGCAAAGAAGTCATGTTATATTGAGGAACTAATAACATTCAGTCAAATTAGAAAAGATGTTTGCCTTTAATAAGTTGCACCTATTTTCTGTTAGAAACTATTGAAGTGACATAAAAGTCCATTATGCTATGGGAGAAAAACAATACTCAAACCTGAAATGATATTTTGCTATTGATCTCATACATTTTTACCAAATATCATTTCATATATTCAGTTTCCTATTTTAAAACACATTTCACATTGTAAATGAATATTTGTGTGCCTTCATACAGAATATAAGAGCCAGTATTGAGCTGGAGAGATGGCACAGCAGTTAAGAACACTGACTGTTCTTGCAGAAGACCCGGGTTCAAATCCCAGCACCCACATAGCAACTAAGAACTGTCCGTGACTCCAATTCCAGGAGATCGGACAGCCTCTTCTTCAGCCGTGTCTTGCATGACATGGGTGCACTTACATACATGCAGGCAATACACTCATACACACAAAATAAAAATAAATAAAATATTAAAAAATAAAGAGCCAGTATATTATTTAATCATAATAATTTTAATGCATCTATATTTTCTTATAATTTAACATTTTTCTACTGTTATTTTCCTATTTGATGAATAAAAGATAGTATGAAACAGATTTATTTAATCATTATAAAGTACTTTTGATTATTATGAAGACACTTAGAACAGGGTCTTGATTTTCTAACATTTGTTATTATTAAGTTTTCACCAGAGTTATTAGGAGTTTCTAAACTTCTTATGGAAATGATTGAACTTTTCTAATTTCAATTTTGTTTTTCACTTATATGGAAAAAGATAGTGTTAAACTCTGTCCCTGACTTTCCAACTTGGAAACACTGAAATTTCTTTGAGTGATTATATTTCGTTCTTCCAACCTGGAGAGCCTGGAGAGGCAGTAAAGGAGTAAATTACATGAAAATTGGAGTATGGAGCATATAATTTGACACTATTTTTAAACATCCTACAATCTACCAGAGTATAAATAATTATAAATTGAGCTACAGAAAACTATTTTAAATTTTCCCTCTTGTCTTTAGACTAATATTTACTTGGTTATTAATTTATTTTACTTGTCTTTTCATCAACTTGAAGTATAGAGATTAATTAATACAGTGGCTCTGCTAATTTAATGTATTATCCTTAAGAACTTTTAATAAAAAATGGTTGGATTAGGGAGTTGAAATCTCTGTGTCTGAGATGCTGGTACTGACAGTTTAGTGTGGAGTAAGAAGGATTTGTAATCTCACCTCTCCTCTCCTCTCAATTGAACATTAATGACTGACTGGTTTTGTTAAGAGAAAAATAAAGTGATTTTTCACTCACTGTTCACGAATTTACACTTGTATTACCCAAAGACTGTCTGCATATCCAGAAATCTTTTTTTAAATATAAACAAAAAGTCAACTCTTATTGAACCCACACTTCAATAAAGATATGGGTGAATTTTTCTCATGGAAAATATTGTTATTTCTTAATACTTAATTAACTGTCAGTCATCTTCATTCTTCTTTCTGAGGAGTTAGCCATGAAGCTTTTCGCTTCTATGTATTAAAAGATAATAGAGTACATTATTTTCTTCTTCTAGTGTCATGTACATTGTCTGTGTACTCACCTCTTCTTTTCTCCATTTATGTGGATATTTAAAATTGGAAGCTGTGTGGGTTTTGCTATAGGAATGTGATCATGCTCAGATGCAATAGGAAGAAAAATAATAATACAGTCTGCAAAACCATTAAGTCCTTTTCTCTCTTCATTGTGCTGGGAAATTAAAGCCTCATGCAGTCCACACAAACCCCTTCCACTGAATTACAACCTAGCCCAAACTTTGTTATCATTATTACTGGTTTTTAGCATTGCAGGATTTCTAACCCAGAGTCTAGTAGCCACATGCTAGGAAAGTATCACTGAGCTATATAACCCAAGACCTATCCTGGCATTTCATTATTTTAACCACAATATTTCGTGAACCATATGATTCTTGGATTTTTCTTGAATCTTTATTGATTTGTCTTCATTTTAGTTCTTACACTTAAATGTGATTGTGTTTTTTACTCCCTCCAACCTTATCTTGCATGACTGACTTTTTTCACCAATTAATCTTTGTTAATGAACTTTCCTTGATTCACTGACATAGTCATGTACCTTCCTTTTAACAACTTCAGTCCATCAATGAATATATCTGAACGTGATCAAAACTTTCATTCTAAATATTCAAGCAGTCTAAGGCAGTACTTTAAAGCTGACAGGGGCTAGGTCCCACATTGTTTCATGAATTTTTAGATGGACTCATTATATTCCCTATTCTACCCCCCAAATAGGCCAGTATCTATATATCTTAGCCTTGCTTTCTGACAGAAGTACAATTCTCTGATAAGCACAGATCTTGAGTTCTTTCAACAATCTATAATTAGTATTCCTTTTTCCAGTAGTAGTAATAATTTGGAGGGTTTTTATTTTTTATGTTGTTCTTGAAAAGTGCAGGGTGGCTTGTGCTCAGTATATAAATTATTAGCAGAAATAAGGGACTTAAAGACCCACAAATAAACAGCAGTAGGTAAGAACAC